CGGATCCCGGCGGGTTTGGGGGCGGGGCCCGGAGCCAGAGCCCGAGCCGGAGAGCTCCGAGCCTGACCCGGGCGCTCCCCAGGTTTTCGCGTCGGTGTCAGCTGCCTGCGGAACTTGAACCTCTCTGTGGGAAGGTGTGGGTTAGCACGCGCAATTGCCCTAATGGGGGAGGTCTGTGGTGTTTGTAAGGTAGTCTCGGGAAAGGGTGTGTGTGTGTGTGAAAATGGGGAAATCTGGACGATGGGGGGGGGGTCTCAGAGTTGTGGGGTTAAGGGTTTCTGCAGCCTACCATGTGCGGGAGAGTCTGAGTTCTGGGAGACGGGCGATGACAGACAGATCTGGATCTGTACCCGCGGAGGTGGGTTGGAGAGGAAGACTGAATTTTAGAAGCCTAAGATTTAATACGGAGATAGGAGAGCCTGAAATCTTTGAAGAAAAGTAGGGCCTTGGCCTTGAACAAGTGTTGAGTGAACTTTGTAACACTTAACATAGGTTGTGATTTAATTAGCTTTTGAGTCTTCTCTCCAACTTCCCCACTCCCCACTGGTTCCCGAAATACAGCAAGGGAAGTCGATGCTTACCAGCTACCGGTAGATGGCAGCACAGGACCCTTGCTGACCTGAGTGACCCTCAGTCCAGAGCCTAAGGGGCCTCACTAGAGCGGGCTGTACTGTTGACTGTATGGTAGGTCAGACCTGATCAAATCTGTTTCTTTACGTCTCCATGACTTTTTTTTTTTTTTTTTAATATATTTTATTGATTTTTCACAGAGAGGAAGGGAGAGAGACAGAGAGTCAGAAATATCGATGAGAGAGAAACATCGACCAGCCGCCTCCCGCACACCTCCCACTGGGGATGCGCCCGCAACCCAGGCACATGCCCCCGACCGGAATCGAACCCGGGAACCCTCAGTCCGCAGGCCGACGCTCCATCCACTGAGCCAAACCGGCTTCGGCTCTCCATGACTTTTTTGTGAGTAGTTAACTTAAACTGGTTTACTGAACACTAATGGTGTACTAGGGGGAAATTTTTTTTCCTCTGCCTTTAAGGGACTTATTTTAGATAGTCATACAAATATCTATATAATCCTAAAGAGAATAAAGTTTGAAGGGTATTGTGTAGTGGAAAAAGCACATTGAAGTCATTTGGGTTGGTCTTGAACTTTGGGTACTTACTAGCTGTATGGATTTGGGTAAATTAATTGACTTTTATTTATATTTAAATATATTTTTATTGCTTTCAGAGAGGAAAGGAGAGGGAGAGGGAGATAGAAACATCAATGATGAGAGAATCATTGATAGGCTGCCTCCTGCACGCCCCATATTGGGGATGGAGCCAGCAACCTGGGCATGTGCCCTTGACCGAAATTGAACTTGGGACCCTTCAGTCTGCAGGCCAGTGCTCTATCCGCTGAGCCAAACCAGCTAGGGCAGAACAATTTAGATTTATAGAAATTTTGTGAAGATAGCAGTTTCCATATACTTCATACCCAATTTCCCTTTTATTATCATCTTACCTTAGTATGGTTCATTTGTTACAATTAATGAGTCAATATTGATACATTAATTAAAGCCTATACTTTATTCAGGTTTCCTTAGTTTTTACCTCATGTCCTTTTTCTGTTCCAGGATCCCATCTAGGATAGCACATTACATTTAGTTGTCATGTCTCAAGTTCCTCTTGGCTGTGACAGTTCTTCAGACTTTCTTATTTTAAAAATGTTTTCATTAATTTTAGAGAGAGGAAGGATTCACCTGACAACACCCAACCAACTAAGCCACACTGGCCAGGGCCCTTCCTCTTAAATTGTAACTGGTAGCCCTAGCCAGTTTGCTCAGTGGATAGAGCCTCGGCCTCCTACTGAAGGGTCCCTGGTTCAATTGTGGTCAAGGGCACATGCCTGGGATGCAGGCTCAATTCCCAATAGGGGCTGTGCAGGAGGCAGCAGATCAATGATTCTCCCTCATCATTGATGTTTCTTTTCATCTCCCTCTCTGAAATCAATAAAAATATATTTTAAAAAATTTTAACTGGTAAACTGGGATGCCTCAGAGCCTACAGCACGCCTTTAGACATTGACTCCTGCTCTGCTTAGCCAATCTTCACCTGCCCGCCACATTCCCTTCCCTGTGTCCACAACCTAAGTAATATCAAACATGTATTGGGCATTTTGTATGTACCAGGTAATTTAAATGGGTTTCCTCATTTAAATCTCAAAACTATCTTATGAAGTAGATATTATTATTATTTCCTGGAAAATTGCTGATGGTCTCAAGTACCAGAGCTAGAACTCAAATTCAGGTGTGGTAGGCAGATTTCTAAGATGGCCCCCCAAAGATCCTGAGTCCTGGTGGTATTCATGTTCTTATGTAATCCCCTTCCCTTGAGTGTGACTTGCTTCTGATAAATAGAATACAGCAAAAATGAGGGGATGTCATTTCTGTGATTAGGTTACCATAGATGAAGTCTTCCATCTCACTAGCAGACACTATTGCCTTCTTAGCTTGCGTACTTCAATGAAGCAAACTGCTATTGTGGAAAGGCCCACATGACAAGGAGCTGAGACCAGCCAATAGCTGATAAGAAATTGAAGCTTTCAGTCCAACAGCCCAGGAGGAATTGAGTCTTGCCAACAATAACATGAGTGAGCTTGACAGTGGATTCTTTTGTAGTCAGGCTGGTACTTTGATTTCAGCCTGTAGGAAACCTTGAATCAGAGGATCCAGTTAAGCTGTACCAAGATTGCTGACCCACAGAAACTGCGATAATAAATGTTGTTTTAAGCCACTAAAATTTGGGGCAATTTGTTTCATGATAATAGATAATACATCAGGTGAATCTGATTGGTTCCCAAGTTCATGCTCTTTACAATTTTATTAGGTTACTAGAGGCCCGGTGCACGAATTTGTGCACCAGTGGGGTTCCTTGGCCTGGCATGCGGGATCAGGCCGAAACCAGCTCTCCAACATCCCCTGAGGGGTCCTGGATTGCGAGAGGGTGCGAGCCAGGCCTAGTGACCCCACCGGTGCACAATCGGGGCTGGGGAGGGACGCTGGAGGTTGGCCTGCCAGGGAGGGGCAGTGGGAGGGCTCCAGGGCACGTCCAGCCCATCTCATTCAGTCCCGATTGCCTGGACCCCAGCATCAAGCTAACCTACCGATCAGAGCATATGCCCCCTGGTGGTCAGTGCACATCATAGCAAGCGCTTGAGCAGCCTTAGCATATCATTAGCATATTATGCTTTGATTGGTTGAATGGCTGACCGGTCGACCGAACACTTAGCATATTAGACTTTTATTATATAGGATTCCCCAATATTCTACACTGTTTCCAAGTGTAGAGTGACTTTCCATTTTTTGTTGGATGGCTTCTGCATCCCCCAGGAGAATCCCTGGTTCCAGAGTCCAGAAGTTTAACACTTTTTTTTAGTTTCATGCTCTTGTGGTTTACAAAAGCTGGGCAAAATAGCTAGATATTTCAACCTCCAGCAGCACAGAGAATGCCCATCATCTTAGGGTCAGGCGTTTCTGTTGATGAGGCTGCCTGAGTTGCCCTGCTTAAGATGTTTCTGTGTATTGCTGCAAATCTGAATACACAGTGGAAAGATCAAGTCTTCTCCTTTCCTTCTTCAAGCTTCTAGTGTTAGTATCTTATAGCACTTATTCCAGTGAGAGGAATCGTATGGTAGCTAGGTTTGCTTTTGAAAGGCAAATACCCTGGTAGATTGGCAGACCCTGCCTGGGTCTGGCAGGAAGAATCCTATGGGGCTGAGAGCTTGCAAATACTGAAACTTGAGCTGGGCTAATGAGGCCTTAGAAAGCACCTAGTCTAATGGTGGTAAAACCTGGCATCACATTAGAATCATCTGGGGAGCTTTTTGTGTGTGTGACCATGGATACCTTACTATCAAATTCTTGCTTATTTTTTAAAATTTTTTATTGTTGACACTATTACAGATGTCTCCCATTTCCCCCGCTTTTCCCACCCCTACCCACCTCCTACCACCCCTTCCCTGGCCTTCTCCACTGTGTTGTCTGTGGGCTATGTATATCATTTTCGGAGCTTTTAAAAAATAGGATGCCCCAAACCAATTAAATCAGAATTTTGGGGTGGTTGGGTATTGTACATCATACCATGTGTCTTCTGCTTTCTGCTCTGGCCTTTTTCACTTCCATCGCATGTGCATACATGCATCTGCTTGCCCGAAGTCCTCAGCTTAAAAAGCCTATCTTTCCTCCATCCTCCAATCGGTAGGTATTTATGGACTAGTTACTGTATACTTGGCACTATTCAGACACTGGAGACACAAATAGAGAGCATGAAAAAAAGATACAGATAACTGAGGGCTCCAGATATTTAACTTCGTGCTCACTCATGTTCTCCCCTTCCCCTGGCTGCCGTCGTTGCTAATTTAAAAACTTCTGTGCTGGCCCTAGCCAGCTTGGCTCAGTGGATAGAGCGTTGGCCTGAGGACTGAAGGGTCCCGGGTTCGATTCCAGCCAAGGGCACATGCCTGGTTTGCGGGCTCCATCCCCAGCAGGGGGCGTGCAGGAGGCAGCCGATCGATGATTCTCTCTCATCATTGATGTTTCTCTCTCTCTCCCCTCTCCCTTCCTCTCTGAAATCAATAAAGAAATATATTTCAAAAAAATAAAAACTTGCGTGCTGTGTGGTACAATCCCACCAAATGATTACAGGAAAGTACTTCATCAGCTAATAGACCCTTTAAGGAAGTCCAATGGAAATCTTCAATGAAAAGAATCTGTTCTCGGCTGGAAGCCCGCCCACGAGGGAAGAGCCGAGGGCTTCCATTGCTAACCTCACACAGGTGAGAAGCCCGCCCCGCTCTGCCAGAAGCCTCATTAGTGGCCATCAGCTTCGCACGCTTGGAAGGCAGAGGGAGGCTCCGCCCCCTACGTCTCGTGTGGGGGCGGGGTTGGGGGACTGGGCGTGAGCTGATTGGCTGGGAGGCGGGGCGCCGCGGGTGGTTCTGTCCGGCGCTCGCTCGGATCCCGGTGGGGTGGAGTGGAGGGAGGGAGTCCCGGTCGCTCCTTTCTCCCAGCGATGGCGCCGTGGTGCCGCGCCCAGTACCCCGCCGGCCGGCCGGTACTCACGATTATCGAGAACCCCCTCAGGCGGTGAGACTGGGAGGGGGTCCGAGGGAGCGGCAGAGCGCTGCCTGCCACGGGGACCATGAGGAGCGGCCAGACCCGTGGGGCGGATTGCGGGAGCAGCCGCGGCACCTGCTGAAAGGAAAGAGGGTGCGGCGGCGCGGCGGCGGCTCGCCCGCACCTCGGCCATGTCTCTGCTCTGCGTGCGCGGTGAGTGCACGCACCGAGGGGCTGGGGTCGGGCAGGGCGGGGGCGCTGAGCGGTCCCCACACGCCTCCAGTGGACGTCGGGTTACCATCCTTTCCAAACTTCACTTCCCGTCTGCGCCTCGGGGGACAATTATGTGAACTTATTGACAAGCATTTGGAGAGTTCTGCCCACTCCTGTCTGTCCTCACGCTCCTGCGAAGGGACTGCTACCTCTCCCTGCCAGTGGCCATGTGACAGGCCCAGATCCTATTAAGCAAACAGCGCCCGGCACTCTCCCCAGTGAGAGTGGACCGAGGACGGAAGGAGACCGGGATGGCTGGTGTCTGTCCTTAGTGGGCAGCCAGCCTCCCATTCTTCTTCCCTTCCTCCTCCCTGCACTGTTAAACTACAGTCGGCTTCGTAGCAGGTGGTTCTTTTTTTTTAAATCTTTGAATACGTTATGGGACAGCTGTCACATCCCTTCTCCCGTCGTATTTCTGGGCTTGCACTCCTCTATTGCTTGTCGTGTCCCCTGCTCCTTCCCTGTAATCTAGGATAAGGGTTAGTGTCATGTTCGACTTGCAAAGGTGTGTTGGATTCTCCTTCCCGAGCAGAGCATAGGAGGTGATTGATTAATTGATGGATTTACTTTGCTTCTGTCACAGTAACTAAAGATGAAGGGCCTTTATTGCTTCTTCACTGAGGACACTGGCTCCATCCATCTAAGAAGGTATTTTAAGGCAAGAGTTTTGGGGTTCGTGTGAAGCAAGGTGCATGGACTAAGCTCCAGGAGGGTAGAGACTAATTTTCTCACAGGTGTTTGTATTCTCTGTGCCTGACATAGAAGCTCTAAGATGGTTTTTGAGTGGATGCAAGGACTACGGTTTTAGAGATGATCTGATCAGAAAAAGCAGGGTTTGGATTACCTGTTGAATTTGATCGTGGGAAACTGAAGTTACAGCCTGTTATACCTGTGCTGAACGAGATGGGATAAGGTGGCTTGGGAGTGCCAGAGTGGATTTATCCGTAAGAGCCTTTTCCTGGCTGAATCTTTTACTGGAGAGTTAGAGTTCACGTTTCTTTGGGCTCTGTGGATTAGAAGCATTGTTTGTGATCTCTCTGATAACTGTTTTCTCTCAGCTGCTGGTAAACGGAACTGCTCTTCTCTTTTCACTTGCACTATTTTGTTAAACCTGCATTAACCCAAAATGGATTTGCCTATTTCCGGGGATTATGAGGCACACAGAATTTTCTCCTTTCACGGTTGATTTTTCATTAATGAGAATTTTGCTTTGCTTTTAGTAAGACATTTCTCTCAGCAGCTGGGAATCTATTCTTTTAGATCCCTGCTGTTGAGTAGCAGGATTTGGGAGAGGTTGGGCTTTGCAATGCCTCTTGAACAGTTTGAAGCTCTGCCACATCATATTACAGAGCTAGCCTTTATGAAAGAGTCTTTAGGCAGGAGCAATAGTAAACCAAAAATTCCTATTTAATTGAATTTAAATCACCTCAGAGACAGGGCAGCTGTTGTTTTTATTTGTTGTAATATTGGTGTCTGTCCATAGTGGGCAGTATTCATGCCTAGAAATTCTGCTGGTTAACATCTTAACCTTTTAATGTTCATTAGACAAATTTCTGTCTTTTTGACCCTGGGGTATTGGAGGGAGAGTAGCAGGTCATTGTCTTTTGAATGGAGATCCTGAAGATGATTAATTACTGAAAGAAGCAGCTACTTTGATTAGAAGTATTCATGTTAAGTGGCAAATTATTCATTCTGGGGAAACCTACAAAAATGGATGAAAATAAATCTTTCTAAAATGACATTTTGGCAGTCAAGAATGTTGTTCATGTTCTGAAAGAAGCCTGTGTGATGATATTGTAGAACAACTCAATTTCTGTTCATCTTAGAGTAGAATTGAATTAGAAACTTTTTCATTGAAGTAAAATTTCAGTCATTGATTTGATTTGGAAATTGGCAAACTGATACTGATTTTAATCACCCTGACCATCTCAACTAACAGTTCATTTTCTTTTTCTGTTAATCCTCACCCGAGGATATTTTCCGATTGATTTTTAGAGATAGTGGAAAGGAAGGGGAGAGACAGAGAGAGAGAGAAACATCAATGTGAGAGACATATTGATTGGTTGCCTCCTGCATGCAGCCCTGGCCTGGGAGGAGCCTGCAACTAAGGTATGTGCCCTTGACTGCAGTTAAACCTGGGACCCTTTGTCTGCAGGCCGACGCTCTACCTACTGAACCAAACCAGCTAGGGCTCAATTTCTTGAACTAACCCTTTAGTTATGTAGGTTAAGGGCTCACAATACAAGTAGTATGACTCCAGCTCTCCTTTTTGGCTCTATGTTATTGCCTATCCTTATATAGGTACTTTGCTCTAGTACTAACTTGGTTCATTCCTGTCTCTGCCCTGTTCTGTATTTGTACCCCCGAAATTGTTTTCTTTCTGTATTTTCTGCTTATCATAAATGTATGCTTCCTTTCCCAGCTTACAGTCTACAATGTTTGTTGAAAATTTCCTCAACTCCTCAGTCATCTTTCTTTTTTACACTCTTTAAACTCTTAAAACAAATCACTTATAATCTGAAGTGTCACTAATTTGGCAATGGATTGTAAATAGCCTGGCACCTAGTCTTGAATTGTTATATTCATGGTGACCCAGACAAAGGGGATACTAGCACTGGTCAGATAAGATCTGGAATTTTTGTGTTCAGTGGGTTATTGATTCTAAGAGGCACATTGAAAAACTAGAATTTCTTCAGAGGAGAATAATTAGAATAATGAAGGGTGTAGAAGCCATTTTAGGAATTGAGAGGTTTAGTTTTGAAAAGATCCAAGAGGGAAAGGCTCATTATAGTAGATGAAAATCATTTAAAAAAACTGTTGATCCAGAGGACAGAACTGGGACAAGTCAACTAATGATTGAAAACTGTAGGAAATTAGATATTAACTTAATGTAAGGAAGAACTTTAACAATTAGGATTGTTCTTAAATGGAATGGACTACTTATGAGGATCTTTTGACATAGGTTTCTTTAAACAAAAATTGAATGAGTGGTGAAAGTGTTCTAAAAGGGATATCTATGTTGAGTGGGAGGCTAGTCTTGAAGAATTTTAAGAAACCAACCTTTTATAGAACTTACTTAATCTTTCTGCAAATATTTAGCACAATTTTCCTCAGAATACTGATGTCGTTTTGTTTCCATGGGTGCCAGTACCATTTTAGCAACTCCAGTAAACTAAATCAAGAATTTTCTTTAACTTTTTGTTGTCTTGATGTTCATGACTAGTTTCTACAAACAAATTATAAGCATTTTGAGAATTGAGTCTTTCCATATTTTTTTGTAATTGCCACATGGTTTATAATTGAGCCATGGCTTTCCCTCCTCTAATTTGAACCAGAAGTGATCACACTTGACTTGTTAAAAAAATCAAAAACAAAAAATAGCCTGGCCGCTTGGCTCAGTGATTGAGCGTCCACCTACGAACCAGGAAGTCACTGTTCGATTTCTGGTCAGGACACATGCCCGAGAAGTGGGCTCAGTCCCCAGTGTGGGTTGTGCAGGAGGCAGCCAATCAATTATTCTCTCTCCCTCCCTGAAATCAATAAAAAATATTTTAAAAACCCACAAAAACTTAATGATATATGTTCCTATAAGCTTATGTGAGTCTAAATCATTTTTTTTAGTCCTAGCCAGATGGCTCAGTTGGTTAGAGCGTCGTCTCATACACCAAAAGGTTTTGGGTTCAATTCCTGGTTAAGGCACATACCCTGGTTATGGGTTAGATCAAGGGTCAGGGTGCATATGGGATGCAACTGGTTGATATTTCTCTCTTACATCCATGTTTCTCTCTTTCCCTCTCTTTCTCCCCCTCTCTCTTCCTCTCTCTCTCTAAATTCAATAAAAACATTTTATTTTCTTTAGCATACATTTAAAAATATTTTTATTGATTTCAGAGAGGAAGAGAGAGAGAGAGAACCATCAATGATGAGAGAGAATCATTGATTAGCTGCCTCCTGCATGCCCCCCACTAGGGACTGAGCCCAAATTGGGCATGTGCCCAGACTGGGAATCAAATCATGACCTCCTGGTTCATAGGTCAACACTCAAGCACTGAGCACTGGCCGGGCTCTCTAGCACACTTTATTGTAAGAATATAATATGTAATATATATAGCATACAACATATTTATTAATTGACTGTTTGTTATTGGTAAGGCTTCCACTCAATGGTAGGATATTAGTAGTTAAGTTTGGGGGAGTAAAAAATTAAATGTGGATTTTTGATTATGGGAGTGGGGTCCAATGCCCCTAATCCCTGAGTCATTCAAGGGTCAACTGTATTTTGGTTTACTGTCACTGTGGAAAGTAGGAATAGTAATGATTTTAGAATTTAGATTTTAGAGTCAAGTGCTTCTCATTTCCTCCCCATTATTGTCTTCTACCTCAGGTAACTCCTTGCTGCTGGGTTTACATCACATCATAGTCTCTGCCCTTACAAGCAGATTGCTGCTGGGTTCCTTTTGCTTAGCTGTGGCATCAGGAAGTTGATTGTGCCTTGTCTGAGCTAGGCAGCAGTGAAGGGGGAAAACACCAATTTCCTTTGTTATAGATAGCTGTTGTCATAAATGATTCTCTTCCTTATAAGAAGTACATTCTGTAATTGCTTAGTTTTGAAAAGAGGAATTTCTGGTGGTTGCACTCTTTAGGCCAGTAGGCTGAGTTTTTCTCCTATTTTACCTGTGGTATGTATTTTAGACTTTGCTATGTGAGTTTGTTTAAAGTTTGGGCTGAGTATCATTAGTAAATATTTGTTGAGGACCTTCTCTGTACCTGTTTATGATACATATCTATATAATAGATAAGAGCCCAGGAAATCTAAATATTTTTTTAAAATATGTTTTTATTGCCAAAACCGGTTTGGCTCAGTGGATAGAGCGTTGGCCTGCGGACTGAAGGGTCCCGGGTTCGATTCCGGTCAGGGGCATGTGCCTGGGTTGCGGGCA